AAAAGCTTATTGTAATTTTTCTGTAAAGTAATTAAGCAGTATGGTGCTGAGGATATAGCTCAGTGGCACAGTGCCTGCCAGCCACGTGAAAGGTCATGAGTTCAATTCACAGTAATAAAAAAAAAAAGAAAAGTAATTACGCAGTACGGCTTAAGTGCTTTAAAAGTAATTACATCATTTGACATAAAAAGCATTATCTAGGGAAAAAGTCTCAACTACACATAATCTGGGTACAAAAATAAATCATACAGTATGATTCAATTTATATAAACATCCAGCTCCTTGGGCAGATGAGGCAGGAGGATTTCAAGTTCAGGTTAGTGTGGCCAATGGAGAAACTGTCTCAAAATAAAAAGGATATAACTCAGAACATTTTGCTTGAATTCCAGGGTCTGAAAAATCAACAAAGAGAGTACAAAGGCCAAACTAATCCATACAGCTGGAAGTAGAAATAGTAGTTAACCATAAAAATGAGGACAAAGTAATGAGAAAAGATGTACATTTTATGTATATGATACTTAAAATATATAAACTGGGTGTGACAGTGGAACTCTGAGGGGAAAATATAAATCTGGCTTGAACCTCCTTGCATCTCAGACATTATTTTAGTCTTTTTTTTCTTTTCTTTTGCTGTCTTGGGGGAGAGGAGTACTGTGAATTGGATCCAGGGCCTCAAAGATGTTATGCAAGTTCTGTATCACTAAGCTGTATCCTTACCTTTCATTTAATCTAATTTAATTTTTACTTTATCTTAGTTTACTTTTTGAGAGAGGGTCCCACTATGCAGTTCAGGTTGGCCTCAATCTCACAGCAATCCTCCTGCCTCAGCCTCCCAAGTGCTGGGTTTATAGGCATGTGCCACCATGCCTGACCCATTCTAATTTTTCCTTTTAGTCTTTTTTGAGACAGGGTCTCTCTATGCAGTTCAGGCTGGCCTTGAGCTCACTTTGTAGCCCAGGCTGGTCTCAAACTTGCAATGGTCCTCCTGCTTTGGCCTCGTGAGTGAGTACAGGCTGGCCTTAATCTCACCATGATCATCCTGCTCAACCTCTCAAGTGCTGGGATTATAGGTATGTGCCATCAATTCAGCATACAGCGAGCAAAGGCACTGGCAGAACAGTCACAGATAAGTGTCCTGACATTTTTAATGATTTGATATTATTGTTTTGTTTTGTTTTGTTTTGTTTTTTGGAGTTTTGGTGGTGGGGATTGGACCTGGGATATCAAGTATGCTAAGCAAGTGTTCTACTACCCAGCCATACACTCAGGCCTTAATATATTTAATA